TGAAATCTACTTTTTTTTTTTTTTTAAACAGGGTCTCATTCTGTCACCAAGGTTGGAGTGCAGTGGCGTGACTTCAGCTCCCTGAGACTCCACCTCCTGGGTTCAGGTGATTCTCATGCCTCAGCCTCCTGAGTAGCTGGAATTACAGGCACCACCACCACGCTCGGCTAATTTTTGTATTTTTAGTAGAGACAGGGTCTCACCATGTTAGCCAGGCTGGTCTCGAACTCCTGATCTCAAGTGATCTGCCTGCTTTGGCCTCCCAAAGTGCTGGGATTACAGGCATGAGCCACCATGCCCACCCTGAAATCAATTTACAAAATGGAAATAGGCTTGTTTAAAAATGCTATCCTGTCTTCTTTCTTCTTTAGAATATAATCTGGTTTTCATTAAAGTACCAATACATGGATTAAATACATTCCTTCTCATACAGTTAACATTCTGGATGTTCCAGAAAATCATATTCGATGCATTCTTCCAGTTGTTTTAAGACCTTCGGGCTGTCTGTGACAGGAAACTCCAAGAATGGAGCTCCTGGGGTATCAGCAGGCAGCTGTCTTTGGGTTTTAAATGCACAGTTTAGGGTCCTGAAGAACGGCATCAACTGCCTGATGCTGGAAACAGAATGTTGGCGCAGAAGCGGGAATTCATTCTTCACGGTGATCTCATCAGAGCTGCTGACCTCCTGCAGAAAAAACAAACCCGTAACAACGCTATGGCTTCAGTGTTTATTGTTGGCCAGGGTGCTCTCAAACTCTGACCTCAGGTGATCCACCCGCCTCGATCTCCCAAAGTGCAGGCACTCGTCACCATGCCAACTAATTTTTATAGAGATGGGGTTTCACCACGTTGGCCATACTGGTCTCAAACTCCTGACCTCAGGTGATCTGCCTGCCTCGGCCTCCCAAAGTGCTGGGATTACTGGCCTCATGAATATAATTTTTTTTTTTTGCCTCCTCCTCCTCCTCCTCCTCCTCCTCCTCCATGAATATAATTTTAAAAAAGAAAAGCAGGCCAGGTGCAGTGGCTGACCTGCCTTTTGAATCTAGCTTTGAAAAAAGCAGTTAGACATTTATAAAAAACTTCGAAACAGGCTGGGCATGGTGGCTCATGCCTGTAATCCCAGCACTTAGGGAGGCCAAGGTGGGCAGATCACTTGAGGTCAGGAGTTCAGGACCAGTGTGGCCCACATGGTGAAACCCTGTCTTTACTAACAATACAAAAATTGGCCGAGCGTGGTGGCACATGCCTATAGTCCCAGCTGTTCGGGAGGCTGAGGCATGAGAATTGCTTGAACCTGGTAGGCGGAGGATGCAGTGAGCCAAGATCCTACCACTGCACTCCAGTCTAGGCAACACAGTGAGATTCTCTCAAAACAAAAAAACACCAAGAATTAGGCAAGAATGGTGGCATGTGCCTGTAATCCCAGCACTTTGGGAGGCCAAGGCAGGTGGATC